TGCAGAAGGTTGCGTGGAACGGTAAGGATGATGACTACATCACCGATCAACTGCTTCGTACTAAGAAAAATGCAAGAAGTGGGTTGTCCTAGAAGTGTCTTTCGCTTTTGCTTCACACCGTCGGTAGATAGCAGGGTGAAAATCGTGTCGAGTACGTGGTCGCAGAGGTACGACCCCCCCCCCCGAAATCGAGATCCTGGCACGACCCCCTCTAACAGAGCAAATTAATTCAATTAAAATAAATCCTGCAAAACAAATCAAAAAAAATCTGCAAAATAATGTTATGGACGCCTCATCTTGTCATCTATGCACTGTCTTTCATCGCTGCACACTTTTGTGTATTTACTGAAATATCGACTCGAGGAAAGAGGCATTAACTTTGTGTGACCTCAAAGTCAGGTTCGTTCAGAAATGCACAGAAATCCTGAAGACACGGGGTTGCGATTCAATCTTGATTCCTTGCTTGAGTATATCAAAACAGCCGAGTGTATCAAGGCCGATTCAACGGCAGCTGCGGCGCGATTGTCACTGGGTCAGATTTGCTGAAATCCCAAAAAAAAACCGTCGAAATCTACACCCTCGATGAAAAGGTTGCATTCCTCCATTTCATAACCTTTGAAGCAGTTTGAGGTAGGGTTAGATAGAGCTGGATTTCGCGTTTCCAAGAAGTATTGAAATTGCTCTGAAAGCCTTCCATGCAGAAAGATAGGGTCTCTCAAATTTCGTCGAGTAAACGTCGAGGACGCTGAAATTTTCACGCGAGTTTTTGCCACTTCAAGAGCAATATCTCTCTTATACGTAAGATCCTGAAAAAGGGAAGATAGTTTTGGAAAGCGGAAGGTTTGCGCTTTCTGATGGTCTTCTTAGCTTTCTTCTACATTTCCTAGTTGAGAAGATATCTGCGTCGAGTATGTATCGAGGACGGATCCGGCCACCTGAAAATCCGCTCCCTCCTTCACCATTGCAAGTGTGATTCGTTGGCAACACTCGGAATGTGTCTAGAACAATATCTTTGAACGCAAAGCAATAAGAATAGGAGCAATCGTCATCATCCGATTTGGTATTGGTATAAGCCATGCATCCCTCCTCCACTCACAGTTGCAGAATCGATTGAAAGGTGTTATATGATGGGGACCTTCGAACGAAACTGTATTGTAGTAGACATAGTGTGTTGTGCTATTCCTGTAACCTAAAAAACAACTTCATTTGCCCAGCGCTTTTTCTTCACGGTTGTCGTTTTTCCGACAGGGTCCCTAACAACAGCGTCATTCTCAGCGAGGTATTAAGGGAGAAGGAGCGAGCGATAGGCAGAGGAGGTGCCTTTGCAGCGCGTGCGCACATGTGGCTCTTCTTTGCGGGGATGCACTTTCATTCTTTGTACTGCCTTCAAATACGCCCTTCTCATGAAGGTGGAGGAATGGAGCGACTGAACCTGCAAAATTAATATCATGTTTTTTTTCAGATATTTTCATTTTCTGCTGCGCTATACCCTCTTACCTATCTGCACCATGATACCACTCTGTTACTGACCCCAAGAGTACGACCCCCCATGGACCAGCCCAACAGGTACGACCCCCCTGTCGAGGATTTCCTCGACCGATATTCACCCTGGTCAGTAGTTTGCTGCTAGTGTAGCGTTCGGCTGCACTTTGTGGCGGGAAAAGCCCTTCAAAACTACGAGACGGTCGGGACGTTGGCCAGAATAAAACTTACACTTGAAAGGAATCCTTCACAGAAAAATCATGACTCTATTTCAGCCATAAATCCACGATAAGAATGAAAAGAACAGAAATATTGCTTTCGTTTTGGTAAAAAATTCGAAAAATCGAAAGGGCTGCTACGCGTTCAAAGTGCCCACGGACGTCTTTCACAAATGCTGGCGACGGGGATGCTTCCACTTGGTTCTTGGAGTGCCTTCACTAGAAACTCTTTCTGGCCTTCTGCTTCGTTGCATTCACATCTTACACTTCTACTCCATCCTATTCTATCGATCGATTTGTCTCTACTCTCCGAAATCGCGCGCTTCTTTCCATACACCGTCCTTCAGCTCCGCCCGAATTACCTTCGATTGTCCATAGAGTGTAGTTTTTGTGACGTTTGTTTCTCTTTCGGAAACCGAATCTTCATGCGTGAAACTTTGTGTGCTGTTTCCAGTGATCACAACTGACACATTCATGTCAGAAAGAATGCAAGAATGAATGGAATTTCCGCGCGAAGGATTCCTTTTAACAACCTCGAGGCTGAGTAAAACTATAATACAACAACACAACTACAACGAAGAGGACCAATAGTTTATTGCAGCATTGTATCAGAGCTGAGCTGGTGTATTTGGGGCTTTGAGTGGAGAACTTTTGATAAACAATAATTGTTGTTCGAAATGTTCTTGAATGCAATGCGAGGTGAGAAGTCACACAACGTCATTCATCACGTCGTAGAGCTGTAGCTTCGCTAATTACTGCCTTTTTAAAGGGATCGGGGAGGTGAATTATACCAGCCCAGCTCAATATTTACCTTTGCGCAAGATATGAGTTGAAATCTTAAAATAACATTTTCTTGATGTTTGCAGTAGTTATGGTATGCTTGGATACGGCGCGGGGTCGGCGCGATTTCATGAAGAAGGCCTCCGATATGGACATGATTTCGGAAGGAATATGTGTACCTGATGTTGAGCATGCGTAGCGTTGGATTCGGTCGGTTTGGTTAGCTTTTCCACTCCTAGTCGTTAGCTAATTTTTGTTTTCAATCAGAACATGCTTTCAGGTCAGGCAGTAAGGGGAATAGAAGAACGTGAGTACTTTAACGTTGCCTGCTTCAATTTTTCTATGAATGCTACGTTAGAGTTAGCGGCCGCTATGGCAGTGTTTGAGGCCGATGTCAGGGGTTGGCGATTATCCATGCGATTTGGCTACTAGGCGATTAGGTGATGGCTCAAAGAAAATGTGTACGTATTGATCGGACGACTAACGACGGACGCGAGTAGGTGGTTAGGACGAGTAGGCGATTAGGCGATTAGGCGAGTAGGCGAGTAGGCGAGTAGGCGAGTAAGCGAGTAGGCGAGTAGGCGAGTAGGCGAGTGGGCGCAGGAGAAGGATATGTAGTGATTTGGCTCCACCTATCGAACAATCGTCTAATCGTCTACTCGCCTAATCGTTTATTCACATCATCACCTAATCTATACGTACTTTCTTACTGAATCGTCACCTAATCGCCCCCGCGTGTACGGTCGCCTACTCTGAACGCTGCTTATGCCTGAGAGGGCAGGATAAGTTGGACCGTCATTGGTGAAGGAGTATCGAGGGGCGGTCTAACCAGTGGCCCAACTCGGCATCTCTTCCGTCGCCTTCGAAAATAATCAGAGCTTTAACAATGTGAAAATGTAATTTTCGTTCGTGTTTTTTTTGCATCGCGTTTACCAGAGGAACCGTCTGTTTTGTAGTCAACAATGGATTGACGCCGTTCTGGGAAGATCCTGATAATCACGCCAATGATGCAGTTATCAAAAACGCAGCCAGAAGGGTTTCTATCGGTAAGTATCAATTGCCTCTTATCGCTAGTAGACTCCAAGATCTCTTATATTGAATCCTTGGCTGTTCGTTGTTATTGTGTGCTTTGTTCTTCTGCCATGAGGTTTTCAGGTGGAATCTATATTTCGGCCAACGTTTCGACCTTCACGTCGTTTTCAAAGACCTAAACATGGCTTAAGACTTACGAATCGCTTGCTACCCCACTAAAAGCCTCATCCCTTCCAGCGTTTGTGACTCATCCTCACTTCAGCTCACCTCACGCACGTTGCACGTCCTCAACATCATAAGTGTATGAGGACAACTAACCTAAGTGTTAAGATAAGCTCACCTAAGAATCCACCGCTGAAGTGAAGGGCTTCAACTCGGTTAGTATTATACAATAGTAGCGAATGGATGTCACCTAACTGTCCTTATACAGTTACGATGCTGAGGACATGCAACGTGCATGAGGTGAGCTGACGTGAGCTTATCTTTCGAGTTTTGGGTATTTTTCTTGCGTTCCTGAGATGAGTCAGAAACGTTAGAAGGGATTAGACGTTTGGTGGGGTAGCGAGCGATTCTTGAGCCATGTTTACGCCTCTGAAAACAACGTGAAGGTCGAACGTAGACCGAAGTAAGGTTTCCAGCTAATAACCTTGTGGCGTAAACACAAAGCACACAGTCTCAATTGCATATTTTGCGAAGGCGGCTGTAGAGCGAGCAATTGAGGACTGTCCAATCATCGTTCAGGTGGATGTAAATGTTGATGACGTGGACACAGAGTAGGATGAAAGACTCCAATCGAAAGGTGGCACGGTGCGTGGGAAGATCATTCTACTGGCAGGACCACCGAGCATTGTATGTGACAACGATGGAAAGGCCGGTCGGTCGAAATCGATTTAAAGGCGGAGTATCCGATTGGTAGCCAGTCTACTAAAATCAAGTTAGAGGCGGTCAGCGGTGCCGGGATGAGGAAAACACGTGTGAGACTGCACAGAACCCGAGAAATGGGATCCCTTCCATGATCATTGATTTTCACATTGATGTGACTCACCGATCGAGTGCTGAATGCTTGACGCTGACGTTCTCTCTTCTAGAATGCTGCTCTCTGCTTAGGCTAAAACCTGCGCGAGTGGATAGAGCCGAGTCGTGCGTGCCGCGCCGATAGCGCCGCGAAAACGGCCATGCTAGGTTCCGGGGCATCTACTTTGCTGCAAACTGCGTGTTAGTTTGCACCCTCAGAAGAGCCGCCTGTCTTTCCACGGGTAAGTCATTCTTCTTCGACTTTCGACCTTATCGTGGTATCCTCCTGTAAAGAGTGACCGCCAAACGATGGTGGAGGATATTGATAGGTATGCGCTCCCTGATCTCTCTTGCATACTAGTTTTCCTCTCAGAGTTTCTCGTCCTCCCTATCTTGCTCGCAACCCTCAAATTATAGTGATAGAGCCATCGCGAATTTGTTTGAGCGATAAACGGGTTCATATTAGAATTTCAGATGGCAACATGGTCTCGCCATCTTCATGACGTTTTCTATCTCTATGGATTGTCGCTCAATGACTCATTAACACAGGATCCCATCGGAGGACAATCGAACGCCTTTTTTATTTCTGAGTCGATGAAACGAAGCTTTGTAGGTATGTTTTTTTTATTCTACATCACAGAAGAATGCACTCCGGCAACTAATTCCTCTGAGTCTATCCCACGACTGTCACACTATTGAGAAGCTTCAATTCTCGAGCCGGGTACATTATGTGGTGCTAGGGGATTAAAATGAGCAGCAGTGGTGTTTAAGATGGTCGACTGAATCAAGGGAATGAATGCAAAATAAAGCGAGACGTTTTTAACACCCAAAACATAAGTCGGGTTACTGTGCCGTGGTGGACTGGGGAATAGGAGCGTTCAAGATTCTCTCCCCTGTGGTCAGTCCCCGAGCTGTGCGACTCGTTGAAGGCCTCCAAAATTAAGCTTGGGTTCAAGTTTAAGACTAAGCGGACTTTAACGTTCAGCATTTGCTTTGCTTAGCCCATGATCGGCCAAACGGTTGAGAAATGAGGTGTTTTAGTTTAAGGTGACCAGAACTGAGGAGGAGGACTGCACCGCACCCCCTTCGTTACCACTCCTTTTCGATTTGTTGTTGTAATAAAAGTTTCTTTGCTTGATGGCTGTCCTTGGAGGAAAACTCTTTATCATTGAATGAATCAACCTTCAGGATTGACCGGATTAGTCACCATAAGTCAGAATGGAACACGTATTCCATTGTTCTCAGTGTACGTCCTGGATACGAACTTCAATCAAGTGACTGCTATAAATTTTACAGTAATTGACGGGCAAACGGTAAGTTATTCATCAGTCGCGCTTCCGTCAGGTGAAGTCCTATTGAGACAAATGTAAATAATGAACATTTTCAAGACAATGTCAAAAGGTTACACAAACGAGGCGACTACGCTGTGGGCAACTCGAGGCGGCCAACGGTGAATTTTACCCCTCTCTTCACCCCGCGGTGTATACTGTTTCTTTACAGACCTCTCGTTCGCCCAAAATGTGGCTATACTGGGACTGAGTGTCCAAAACTATTCTTTACAGACCTCTCGTTCGCCCAAAATGTGGCTATACTGGGACTGAGTGTCCAAAACCATTCTGGGAGCTCTATGGCTTATACATCATTGTTGCATCTGGTTTGCTTCTGATTCTGCTGACTGCTGCTGTAATCTTCATCATATATGTGATAAGGTAACGTCGAGTTGGGTTAAGCATTCCGAAATTCCTCGAAATGGGTGTGGAAACTAAATGCGATCTCGTCTATTCAATGAATAGGGGGCTAACCAATGCTAAAGTCAATGATTTTGTCCTTTCCTGGTTAGTCTGGTTTGTTACTAATTAAGGTTTCCGGAGAGTTGCTTCCTGCTCTTGGACGGATTTCTTTTCCTCACTTCCTTACTCGCTACTGAGCGTGTGGTTGTTAGAGTGCAACTGTTAGGCCAGGTCGCTATATCTGGCTCATGAGTTCCGGAAGACCGAATATTTTAAACAACATCCTCTCTTCAAATACTTCAGGATTCGAAAAGAAGAGCAGGAGCGGCAGCGGCTTGTTATGGCAGATTCCTTACATGAAACTACGGAGACCTCCTACTATGGTAAGAAGGTTTTGTGTCAGACTTCGGGTGTGTACTATCGCTGAGCTTCTTGTATGAAATTTATGTTCTTATTTAGCGTGAACTGCAAGCAACAAAGCAAGCGCTCTCTTCAATCTGGACCGTCGATTATGACGGGAGACTCGAAGCTGACAGAATCTAATTTTGGCGACTTCGAGCTCCATTTCCTAGAAAACGATCCTGTTCTTACCACGAAATATCCTGCGACTGGATTGACCGAGGAAGACAGATCCAGATTCCCACAGGTTTGCTTTCTTAATCTTTTCGAATTAAAGGAGAATTCCACGATAAGGTCGTAGGTTCAAGGATGGGAAGTGGAGGCTCGTAAGGGGTGAGAATCGTAAGTGCGTGAGTATGCGCATGTTGAAGTGAGGATGTCGTTAGCGCTGGTGGGACCGCGTCGCTCCGGCACAGGTCCATCGCGATGCAATCGCAGAAGACTGATGACACGTGAGAATTGCGCGCCCCAGTGCAACGTCGAGAAGGGTTACGGTATACACCCTATGTTCCTGAACTTATAATCTTGTTGCTCGAAGCCCTCCCTCATTAACGCTTCCTTTAGTCATAAGTGTGTTCCGTTTTCCTTTCGAACGCTCCACGGATGTCGCTCACTATTGATCAATATCCTGTTGCTCTATGGAACTGTAACTTCAAAACTGCAAACTGCGTTTCTTCACTGTTTTCGTGCCCCTTCGGAAGAACCGCCACCTTTGGTGTAAATTGGTAGCCATGATTTCAAATAACTCTTTGAATCTTTTAGGCCGATGTCAGACTTTGCGAATCGCGCGATTCGCTAGCGTCTGCGGTCGCGTCGCGGCCAGTGAATCACTCAATTGGCTGGTACCGCAACGCGACCGCGGACGCTAGCGAATCGCGCGATTCGCAAAGTCTGACATCGGCCGTAGTCTTACCTCCACTCTTTCTGGATCAGTAACCTACGTGAAAATCTTTAGAATCAAAGGGGCACTCAAAACAGGAAATTAAGCGCATATCCCGCTTAGCTGCTAGTGAGCAAATTCCAAGCGCTATCATGCATGACGTGACAATGGCAGCCACCGGTGGCTGACAAAGATCTCACTTGTACAATGGTATCCACCGGTGGCTGCCGTGTTTCAAATGGAATTTGGAAAGTTTTCTTTCCCTGAAAAGAATCTTCATACCCTCATTCATCTATGCCAGCCTTGGGCAGGGGAATCTCCATCCACTCAAATTTTATTGAAGAAAAATCTCCTGACTCTCCTGCTAATGCGCAACCGGCGCGGTCGCGAATGGGTTAAGAACTTGCTATAACCCCAACATTTCTGAGAGTCTTACTAAAAGTACCGCCGGTTACATGCAAGCAACGGTAAACAAGCAGAAGGATCCCAACCGATGCTTTCCTGTGTGATTCTAATTAGGATAGTAGAGATGAGGTAGACTAGGCGTTTCTTTGACTGGTACTGTCTCGGATAAAGCTGTTGTCACGTTAGCTGAGGAATTGGCTCATGATAATATCAATACGATTTGTGGGCCTCAATTGATGCCCGCAAAATATGGGGGTATTGGGCGCTGTTTGGCGTATTGTGCAGGAGCACTCTCAAGGTACCTTTTTTTAAAGATTTCTTTCATAGCAGTCTTTCAGTAGCAGTCAGAAGTATACGTTGAAATGGCTTTTCGCTCATTACATCTTCATGCTTGATCACCTCCCTTCCAACAGGCAGCAACAATAGCGTTCAATACTGGCCAATGGCCGTATGTTCTATGTGCGAGATCCCACCACGCTTAAAAAAACCTGACTCATTAGTATTCAAGAGCAACAACGAAACAAAAGTTCCAGGTCAACGTTAACCTCGATCAATCCGATGTGTCATTTTGCTCAGAAAATGAAATTGACGGCGAAAATGGACGGCGACGTACAGGAGACCAGAAACGGCCTGAAAACGTTTCTTTTTCGGGCGTGTGAGAGCTTTCGAAGGAGCGAAACCCAGTATAGATAAAGATTCTGCGTCGCATAGTGAGGAAAGAATCGGTGACAAGCAGGGTCGACCGTCCGCTGGACAAGTCCAACGAGGGGTGGGGGGTGTCGTATTTGGGGGTGGAAAAAGGGGGTTGTATTTCGCGAGGTAGCGTTAGTGTTACATCAAGGGGAGAGGATGTGGCAGTTGGTTGATGGCGCTAAAATTGTGCCGTTCACGGTGTGGGGCGGGGTCTTGGTGCTAGTTTCGACTGGTTTTCAGAAATCGATACTATAGAAATGAGCCCATATGCTATGGCAGGCGAGGGGGTAATGGTTACCCTGAGGGGAGGTCGTAGTCGAGTCCTCTGAGGTGAGGGGGCTCGTAAACTTCCAAAATCGGCCCACGGACTGTTGAACCTGGTGACAAGATACGAAAGGATCTTGTCACCAAGGTCAACAGTCACGTGGATACGAAAGAGAGGAGGTTTGGCCTAGTCAACTTGTTTAGAACAATGTTACAAGTCTTCTGTCAACCAGATGCTGACAGAAAGCTTAAATTAATTGTGTGCCTTATGTGTTGAGAGCGCAGACACACTGGCAATCGGGCGCTTTGCCTAGCACCGTAGACGAGGTCTGAGACCGCGAACCAGGATCCTGGGTGGAACCCCATGTGCCCAACCACTTGACTCCTTCGCCCAAAAATTTCGTGCTGCGAAGTCAGTACGTACCGTATGCTTGCGGATCTTTCTATGTCTAGGACTAGGGCTAAAGTTTCATTCCACTGACCGATCCTGGTCTGTGCCTTTGAAATAAAGTTTTGCCATTCTGAGAAAAGGGAACAATGCCCGAAAAAGACTTTTCGGCGCACACTTTGACCGCTACTGCATTCCACTTCTGCATAATAGCCGCTCAGACTGCTTAAACCAGTTATGTTGTTGGCTAATTTTTTAAGGAACTCATCTCGAAAGGTTCGCTATGGTTTGATCCGTTCTTCATGTTGTGTATAATGAGAGATATCGCTGAGGTACTACACTTTTATAAGAGCCGCGATAGGGCAAACAGAGCAAACACTTCCTGAATACAGGGTCTCCGATATCTGCACGGCTCATTCATCGAATCGCATGGTCGTCTCCGTTCAGAGTGTTGTTTGGTGACTGACAGCTGGCAGGTGAAAATTTCCGATTACGGTATCGGATCATTGCGAGAAGATGAGCGCCTCAAGAAAAAACGTAAGCACTTCGAAGACATACAGACATACAGCATTAGTCAAAAATGGTAACGAGGGACATGCATAGTAACTCTGAAGGGAGCTTCAGCTGAATCCTAAAGGCAGCGTGCATGATACGTTGTCTTTAGGATTCAGCTCAAGCTAGCGGGCGGAGGGGGGAGGGGTGCACCGTTTCAGTTTCGGAGGGAGCCTTCTTCACCCAACAACGCCACACCTCGCCTCCTCCTTTAATGACTGACCGACTGTCCTTGCTGGTGAAGACCCACTCTATCGTATTCGATGCCTTTAAATTTAGCCGGAACGTTTTTGTAAACTACGACTCTTTTTTTATCATAGCGGTTTAAGTATACGCTGAAGATCCGCTCTGGGAATCATAATCCTTGTTAGCTCTGGCTGATAGTATTTCATGCACTATTTAGCTGTGCACGATAACGAGCGCGATGGAGGTTGCTTGAGATGAACTTACTCGTAGGATAAACCATGACTGAATCGTGCAAGATGGCAGCTCAGTTTGGGCGTTCCGGTCTTCTTTGATTCCGCTAATTTTGACTGGCAGCCTAGTTTTTGTTGCAGGGAAACTTGCAAAGTCCCACCGTAGGTGTAGTTTTACATGGCCTGGGTTCAAAAGAACTTCTAACCTCAAATTGCCAGAATTTGGACAACTTCGCGTCGGTGCAAGGACGATTTTAAAGGAGGAATTCACGATTAGAATGAAGGTCGAAGAAAGGGAAACTGACCTAGTTGAGGGACCCACGGACCTCCTGAGGGTGCGAACTGACGCGCAATTCGCATGGAAAAATTTGACCTCGGCGACCTATCATGCCTCAAAGCTGGCGGGTCCGGCGATCTCCGCCCACCGATCATCTGATCACTCGCCGTAGTTCAATACGTGGCGAGTGATTAGATAGCTGAGAGCGGTGTTGGTGAGATTCTGTGGGGTGCTGACGGCTGCTGGTGTGCCGCATCTGTCTGCTGTGGCCGCGGTCGTAGGACAGGTCGCGCGGGGCGGTGGTCGAGAGTGCGGTCTGGGATCGGGGGGTTGTGGGGTCTGTGGGCGTGGGTGTGTTGGGCGTGGGTCGGTGCGGGCGCGGTGGGGCCGTCGTGCTGGGGGGGCGGTGAGAGAGCGTAGTGTTGAATAGGGTACAGCGATGATAGTCGCATCAATGGTCAAATCAAAGGGCAAGGAAGGGGTCTCATTTCTCGGGTTCTGGGCAAGGTCTGTAACTCGGTCCTTAGAACCGCCACAATTTGGTGCTTACCTCAGAACTAAGCCTTAAAGAGAGGACGGGTCCGTCCCCTCTCCAAGGCTTAGTCCTGGGGTGAGCAAACCAGCCCTTCTGGCGGAGCTGCTGGACCAGCTGCACCACTTGCGTCAGTACTCTCCTATCGTACCAACCGAGTTGAAGTAAACCGTCGACCGTTGGGGACCCCATCCCCTCCCCAACATTCAGCATACGGTCCAGCCGAAACGCCAAAAGGGCTGGTTTGCTTACCTCGTATATGTCACTGTGAAAGGGGGGGGTGTATATAATCACTGTGAAACGTTATAATACTCCAAAAATTTCCCTAGCTTACTTTCGTAACTAACGTAGGGTTGACCCCCTGGTTCTGGGCCGTTTCTCATGGTTTTTCCTCTGTAGTGTACCACTCACCATCGCTAACGTTAATTTGAAATGGTTGCTTTTCCAGCGTGAATTCGTCCTTTAATAAGCCTCTCCCGGCCACCGTGTGCGGAGTTTCCCATGACTCATTTCCGCACCGTACAACATGGTTCGCGCTCTACCCATTCCAAATTTTGATCCGCCATCCCCGGATGGTTTTTCAATCAACGATCACAAACTGTGGGGAACACTTGCAAACGTGTAGCGTGCGAACAGAAAAACAAGTTGTTTCCATATTAGTACGATATTAAGAACTATTTGAAACAAGAAACAGTACCAATAACATTTTGAATTCATCCTTTGCGCTAATCTGCTATGGTGGCTCCCCGAACATCTTCGGTCTCCCGATACCTCCTCGAAATCGTCGAAGGAGGGCGACATCTACTCATTCGCTATAATCGCCTTCAGAAGTTGTGACACGAAAGCCAGCATGGAATTTGCACGAGCGCAAAGGAACGGACCTGATGGTGGAGAAAGTGAAATTTTAGTTGAAATCCTCTAGATACGTCTAATCCATGCTGTTATTTCAGAACTGCTATATATGCTGAAAAAGGAGGTCATGCACCACCACGGCCGGATCTTACTATCGATGGTGAAATCACGCACTGCAGTCGTGAATACTTTCGTTTCATTCTCAGTTAATCTTATATCGGATGCCACATACAAGAGTGCCAGTTCGTGCCACACAGTGTTGCGCGCAAAATCACAATCCCTGCTGATACGGAGCGGTGCTGCCGGAATTATCAAATTTGGCCTGATCGATCACGAATATCTAGCCTGCCCTTTAGGCTCATTCCCATCCGCTTGCCCGCTCGTTTTAATAGTCACGTAATGATAACCCCACGAGTATCTCAGATCGTGCCGTTGCTCGTCAATAGCGCTTTGACAATGGCGCTAGGGCCTTATAAAGGGACCCAATGCGGGTACTGGGAGCCCCCCATGAACGCCCATCGTCGCGCACACACCCACCATGCGCAACGCGCGGGATACCGTCGTGCTAATTGAATACTCGCAGTTGTGGAGCCATGAGCGCAGCAAAATCCATCACTCGTCCAGCCTAAAGTCAATATTCTTGAAGGAAAATAGAGGGAGTCCTGTTAAGGGTTTCACCGGCAGTTCGCTTTGCTCTTTTTTTTTTTCATTTTCAGTCAGTTTAGCATTCACATTTTCATGATCGACCACTCTTACCCCACCAATTTGATCTGGGGTTGTTGCTTCAAGAGTATCATTCCGCGACGAAATGTTCCTGAGGTGCTACTCTATAAGCGGAAGCAAGCATTTGTTGAGTCCCTCACCTCCTCTAGAATATGAACAGCCATCTGGTATTCGTTAAGCTAAGGGAGGTCTGTCGAAATATTTCTCAGCCTAAATTCTGCGTGATATGTTGTTCACTAGTGTCCAGCCTCCTACGGAATATGACTTTTAGTAAATAAGTTCCCTCGCGGAAATTGCGGTGCTGACAAAATCATTATGGTTCATGATCAAAGTATAACACTCTCAAAAACATCGACCAGCTGGTCCGAAGTGCTACTGTCGACCGAAAATTTCTGGTGTGAAAAGACAGAGCTCTTGAGATTCAGGCGACGGCAGACTACAGACATTCTAGGAGTGGTGATCTTGAGTGTGTGATCAGTCATCTCCGAAGTAGGGTCAACCGTTACGTTCGCACATTTTCAAAAATTTTGCGACCTCCCTCTTTAGGGGGTCTCAATGCAACCCCCACCACCACCATAGTAGAAGGCTCCCCCAATACAATCCCTTCCCCTACTCCGACCACCACCCTCACCGTCATTGCTGTTTCTATGGCGTGCCCCGTGGACGGGGTCGAGCGGATGCATCGGTGATCTGTCCACGGGACCCGGCAAAACGTGGGATTCCAGTGGGTGCCCACAACACCTCGGAAGGGAATGCGTGCGCGAGAATGCTCTGAATTCCGTGCCTGCTGCGGGCTCAATCACAGGGCCTTATTCCCTGACCCCAACAAGTACGTCGTGTGCTTGCGCGTGCGTAAACCCTGATGTTACTGGGTGACATGTGGAACGTTTGATGCCCGACAAGACCATATATGACATATGCGAGAAGCGTGGTGCGATGTATACGAATGCGATTGTGTAGCGTGATGTAGCGAAACAAAATACTCACTGAGCTTCATATGTACCAAGGCATGACATGACATTACAATAAAAAGTACCTGTAAAGCTATTATAAAAGGATAAAAGTGGACTACATGAAGGAAACTACGATAAGCTGTGAGTGCTATTACCACGAAAGGAAATAGATTACATAAAGGAGTAAACTACCGTTCATCCTGGCTAACTACACTGACTAAGGAATACTACTAATGCTATTCGAACGAATGGGGGGAAACCCTGACCAGTGATATACGATTATGACAAAGAGTAGGTATTTCCTAATCAAACCGAATCGAAGAATAATTTGGCCATTGCATCGTCCGCCCTGTACTAATGATGTTAAGTAGGCAAGGGAGGCAAGGGGGAACCGACCTTCTGAGGGCCGAAGCGTTGCGACATAAGACGAAAGCGACCGGTCAGCACGATTGCATCATGCCGACTGACTATGGATTTCGCGGGCGATTTGAAGGCGGCAGACAGCCAGGGGTCTGTGCCTATCACAGTCGACGCTCAGTCTGACTGTGCTGCGTTGCGGCATCCTCCCGCGCATGGCCTTGGAGCATCTTTGCTCGAGGTCGTGCGCAAGTCACGATAACAGGAAGTCGACACACTACGACTCCACCCACATTATCCTCCAAAACAGCCGCAGCTCTCGAGCGGGAGAGTGGAGGGCCATTGAAAAATCATCATGATGAAGCGAGGACCAATCCATTTGCCAAATTCTCACTACTTTCAGAAACTTTCACCAAATTCGCCAAAAACCCCGTAAGCCCCCTTTACCAACCTCCGTTCTCACTATGATAACCTTGCTCAACCCCAAAATGCGACCCCCTATCCGAAATCACAAACGCGACCCCGTTCGAATCGTGCAAAAGGACGGTTGATCATTTGGCCTGCGGAGGCCAGGCGGTTCACTAAGAGAGTGAGCAGTGATGTGACCACCAAAAACAGGACCACAATTCCCCACCCAACATCCAGCCATATTAGTTCGCTTATCAGGTTTACATCAAATCTCTATACAAGTTAGCGAAGAGTACGTACATAAAACAAGACGATGCCTAAGAAAGAGGGAAGTACCTTAATACCATTACACGTTGCAGCTCCATCTTATTCGCGATTGTTGGAGCGAAAAGCCGGCAGAGACGACCAAATGGCGACACTCTGTGCAAGATATTGACGGTAAGAGAGTTGAATTAGTATCCACACGACCCACTGTGGTAGCACGCAATGTTCATGGGAAAAATGCGTTCTTTTTAGACGATGATGCCGGATAAGAAAAGCAATTTGATGGACCACATGTTCAATATGTTAGAAGACTACACAACCACGCTTGAACTGGATGTTGAGGAGAGAACAAAGCAGCTGCAGGAGGAAAAAAAGAAAGCCGATATTCTTCTGGGAAGGATGTTACCTAGGTATGAAGAAGATTCTATGCATTTATTGATTGGCTTTGGGAAAGTTACAAGTGGTTTTAGGTTGATGCGGCAACGCCCTCTTATACAAATTCTCACTACACCCCCTTAATTCCTATCCATTTGGAAATTTGCAGGCAAGTAGCGGATCGTTTGAAAATGGGACAGACAGTCGAACCAGAAGTTTGAAAGCGTCACGGTGTTCTTCTCCGATGTTGTCAAGTTCACTCAGTTAGCTGCAAAATGTACAGCTTTTCAAGTACGTTATTAGATTAGTGTTAGTTTTGTTAGAGCCTTAAATTTGCGTATTCCTGATTTTCATTGCAGATTGTAAATCTACTCAACGATCTGTACAATGGATTCGACACGATCATAGAAGAGCATTCCGTATACAAGGTAATTGTTATCGTTGAGTAAAGTCATCGTGCATCGAAAATGCATGAGCTGTCTCCCCGAAGTTTGGCCATCTGGCATTTGTGCCTTATGAAAACACAAAAAAAGTTAAGATGCGAGTAATCAGTTCGAACTATCAATCAAAACCTAAGACACAGCCATCTGCCGCGAATTCTCATTAAGGCTTTCTGAAAGCGCGTACTTCTACAATTATTCAAGGCGTGGTGTGGCGGACACAGTGAGAGGATTTAATGCGAATATTTAAAAGAGCATTCCACGATAAAGACAATGGTCGAAGAGTGGGAAACTTACTTAGTGGAAGAGTTAGACGACCTCAAGGGCGGAGAACACAATGCATCGAAGGCTATACTTCGGATTAGCTATGGCCTTTCCACGGCGCAGTTAGCGCTAGTGGCGCCGTACGGCCCCCTTCGCACCGTCTAGTGTCTGCTTCTGCAGCGTTTGCAGAGAGAGCTTAGCGTTGAAGACGGCGCAGCACTGTGGAGTCGCGTCAATGCGCCAAATCATCGCAGTCAAAGGGGTGTGCCATTTCCCGCGTATATAGGCCATTTTTCTCGGTTTGTTCTCTTCCGTGCATCACTGACTATTTCCAAGATTTCTAATGGGCTGCTCTCCATCGTGAAATCCCCCTTGAAATGTGAACGCGTGTCACTGATGCTACTTTAAAGGCAAACCCCGGGATTAGCCCGTCTAGTAGGAGGGATTCCACGGGGGAAATTGTAAGGTCCGTACGTAACTGGATCACTCCAGCTTCGTCGCAAAAACTGCGCGGTTAGGGCGCTAATCCTTACGGGCCCGCAACCATCGACTCCCGTTCCAACACATCCCACCCCGCGAGAGGTGGTGAGATCAGCGTGCATTGATGAGAGATCAGCGTGCTCTCTCAAACGCTGTGCTCTCTCAATATACGCTGCTCTGCTCTTTCTCTTATTCTGTCTTCTTTGACCGCCCTTTCTCGCCCATACCACATCCGACCCTATTGAAGGTTAAGGCCTTTCATTGCAGCGTTCCCAAGGATTTCCCTTGCTTTCCTTTCTATTTTGAGGTCGTTAAGCAGTTATCACTACAAAGCGCTGCTAGCACCTGTTTAATCCCAGAGTTTGCCTTTAAGGACGAATTCACGATGAAAAAGCAACCCATTCCAGGTTAACTTTCGGGATGGTGAGTGGTATATGAAAGAAGGAAGAACCATGAGGCCGATGTCATAGTTTGCGAATCGAGCGAATCGCTGGATCCGAGCGTTGCGCCAGCGAATCGAACGTTGTACCAGCGAGTCGAACTAGGTACCAGCGACTCAATAGTGGCGGGACCCAACGTTCAAAGGAAGCCCGCCACTTTCAAACAGCGTCCACTGTCACGTGACACTGTTTGAAAGTGGCGGGCTTCCTTTAAACGTTGGGTCCCGCCACTATTGAGTCGCTGGTACCTAGTTCGACTCGCTGGTACATCGTTCGACTCGCTGGCGCAAAGTTCGATTCGCTGGTGCAACGTTCGATTCGCTGGCGCAACGCTCGGATCCAGCGATTCGCTAGCGAATCGCTCGATTCGCAAACTATGACATCGGCCTATAGAAACGGCCCAGAACCCGAGAAATGGTACCCCTTCCTTGCCCGTTGATTCGAGCATTGATGCGACTCTCATCGCTGTGCCCTCTTCACACTACGCTCTCTCAGCTATCTAATCACTCGCCACGTATTGAACTACGGCGAGTGATCAGATGATCGGTGGGCGGAGATCGCCGGACCCGCCAGCTTTGAGGCATGATAGGTCGCCGAGGTCAAATTTTTCCATGCGAATTGCGCGTCAGTTCGCACCCTCAGGAGGTCCGTGGGTCCCTCAACTAGGTCAGTTTCCCTTTCTTCGACCTTCATTCTAATCGTGAATTCCTCCTTTAAGGTGAGTGATCCTTGCGAGAGATCGTTTGCACAATTCCATTCCATTATTTCAAAACTTTACGCAGAAACCGCAAACTATCTTCTCATAGAAAGAAAAGCAGCTTCAAAGACAATCTTCTTGAGTTCCCCATCGCTTGGGTTTCTGAGAAGGGTACTGGCTCACTTTTGGTTCTGTATTCTTCGAAATTTGCATGGAAAATGTGCTACCATTTTGCAGCTCACTGTGAGAGCCAATTGCAATGTGAACTTCCGTAACTGTAAAAAATTTTAGAAAATGCTTGAAAAGAATTGTTTAAGTGCAACTTACTCAATTTTCGGAGTCGGCTGGAACAGTCCAAAGGCGCGAGGCTTCCAGTGATAGAACCATTAAATCATAATTGAAGGACGTAACAGGTGGAATCGATCGGCGATGGATATTTGTGCGTTTCTGGTCTTCCAGTCAGGAATGGATATGCTCACATCAAGGAGATCTCAGAGCTGTCGCTATCGTTCATGACGTTTGTTGACGAGTTTAGGATATCGGCCCTCCGAGCGGGGGGGCGGGGGGGGGCGGGGGACCCTCCAAGAGCGGGTGCAAGTTCGAAGTGGCGTTTACTAGTACGTTTCATATTACACTTTCTGAAGGTTATCTAAAATTGAAGATGCAAGGTTCATATAATATAATATATAGTTATAGTTGTGATGCCGGAAGGACCAGATATCACCTCCTGATAGAAATTCAGAAGCTGATTAATAAAGAAGTGAAATTAAATTCAACAAAAGGACAACCTTTACACGGTACAACCTTTGTACTGTGAGGCTTAAATCACTGCAGGGATCTTACAGTGACGCTTGCTGGCTTACTGATGTCCAGCACTCTGGTGTTATCAGTCACCTAGCCAACTTATGGGACATGGATGGATAAGAAAAGGTCCACACAGAAATCGCCGCAGCAACTGCCGCACGCGACGATTCTCGCCGCGTGAGCGGCGTGACCTCATTAGCCGACGATTGAATAGTCCGTCTCCCCTAAACAAGTCTGTTACAACAGCGCCGCGGTATAGAAAGTTAGTAGGCGTGGGCAAGATTCGATCCGAATATTGAAGCCGGTCTGTGCCCATGGGAAGTTGGCGCTGTCACCACACTACCTTCACGCAGAGAATATTAGTGGAGAAAGAAATTCGAAATTCTGCTGAAGTGA